AACTGTTGTGGATTTCATTGACTGATGCCAAGTTTTTGTTTGACCGCCGCTAGCTTTTTTCCAGTCTGACCCTATATCCGCTAACATTGCTCGTCGAGGGAGCCGATGGCTTGGCATACGTAACACACGTCCTAACCATCTCAGTCGATGTAGCTTCACGACTTCGTCGATTGATTTCCCCTGTTTACCTAGAACTCTACGCCTAACCTCCATGTTGCTCACCTTATTATGCCACTTTACACGGGAAATAGAACGCAGGCACCTATGATCAAAGGCAGCTAGTCTTTTCATGTCTTCCACTCTCAGTGGCCAGGTCTCACAACCATAAAGGAGGACGGAGCGGACTGATGAGCAGTACACCCGCCCTTTGGTCGATAGTCGAACATCTCGTCTACGCCAGAGTCGGCGTAAACTAACAAATGCGAAACGAGCCCCTTGTATCCGTGCTGAGATTTCGTCGGAGATCAGCCCGTTGGGGCTGATGGTATTTCCCAAATAAGTGAAGCGGTCAACGTGCTCTACCACTTCACTTCCTATTTTTAAACTAGGCGTCGATGTAGTCCAGTCCTGTAACATCATCTTGCATTTGGCGGGAGCGAATCGCATGCCAAACATTCGTAGATTGCGGCTCAAGGTGTTTAGAAGACTCTGCATTTTGTCAGCGTCTTCGCCTAGAAGGACTATATCGTCTGCATATTCCAAGTCAACGAGATTATTCCCAGGTAGCAAGTCAATCCCTGAATCGCTGAAGTCACCTAGGGTTAAGTCCATTAACACATCTATGATGAAGTTGAATAGAAAAGGAGATAATGGACATCCTTGACGGACACCACTAGTCGTCACCACTTCAGATGGTAACTCGCCGTAAGCCCTCGTTTGGCGGACTGCATGAGTTCGAGTTGAGTGCCTTGATCTATGCAATGTATTTTCTCGCCAGAGAGGTACTCTGGCGATGCTTGGCTGTAAAGGGAATGAACTATAGTGCTGGGAGACTATTAGTATGAAGTAGTTGAAGATGGTCCTAAAGAAAATGCATTCTGAAAAAGTTTACCCATATTAATTTTAAGATAAGAACCGGTTAATGGAAAGTGTATTTTAAGGTCACTTTGAAAAACGCTGACACATTTCAAAATAATGATAAGAATGTACTAATTGCTGACCTGAACAGATACGAAATTTCTGCGTTTCACATGCTATGTGAATGCAACAAGCGAAAGGCAGTTTTGTTTCCTAATCTGTGGTAGTTCACTTATTATTTTGAAGACAAACCACAATGATTTCACTGCTGTCATTCTGAATCACGATAACTTTCAGATATGAACTTTTTAATCATTTTATTTAATTCCTTTGCGTTTCGAACGGAACATAGGGTTTCATGCTTAAGCTTTGGGGTTTCAGTAGAGATGGTGTTGTTTTCTGAGGAGTGAGGTTGCTATGCCCACGCGCAACCTTTTCGCTTTACTGGGCTTATTACCGACTGAGCAAGGTTTAGGAATGCGTCGATCCGGGTCACGTGCATAGTTGGAGATAATCCTACCACTGAACGAGAGATGCTATGAAGTATTTAGTCAAACGTAATTGATCCATGCTAAAATCACACATGGTAGGCACGGTAATGTTGAATTGTTAAAAAACTGAGTAATTTTAACCTTTTACAATTAATAACGGTATGGGAACAAGCAGAAATATACCATGTCATAAAGGAAGCATATTACAGGAGACGAAGTAGTAAAAATAAAAAGTTCTAAAAGTTAGAACTCAATGACCAGTAATACGTTTTTCCTACACCAGACTATGAAACACACCTATTACGTAATGACACTAATTCGAATCCACGACGTGCTGGTAATGCCGATGAGCCTCTGGGGACGGTATAAAGACAGTAATAATCTGGTAAAGTATACTTAAGGGAATAAGAGGTTGAGGCAATATATTACACCTTGGTGAAAAAGTTAAAAGAAAGTATATTTGATTTCAATGTATGAGTCAGCAAAATTGTAGGTAAATAAACATCAGAAAAGAACTGAAAACTTAATTACACCTACGATGCATCTTAACAGGGAAATGGAGGAATTGTTTTATTAACAGGCAATAAACAATAATTACAAAACACTATACTAGTTACACTGTGTGAAAGCAGTATATTAAATACCAATGGAGCTTATGAGGGCCAGGAACCATAAATTTGATCCGGAAAGAATTTTTAAGGCGGTAAAATTCGTAAAAAATTGGAATAAGTATAAGAGCAGATTACAGAGCTAGATTACTTCAACATATAGTATTTATACTAGACAGGTTCCAGATTGAATCAAATAGAAAACTAGCATCTACAACAGTAATAAAGTATCAGCTAATCATAGAGATTTACGCCTTTAATGTAGTGGATTGTTTTTTTACAGCTTCAAGTCAAGTGCTTGTGAGTTGTTCCTTGATTTCACAAAATAAAATACTTGTATGTTCTACGTTTACATCAAACTAGAACCACCTGTAGTACTGTGAATTAATTTTAGATATCAATTTAACTAATGTTGTCTAACATTGAAAACTACCGTTGCTTTTATTATCACAGAATAGTTACATTACCAAAGTCAACGAACACCGAAAATCAACAGGTGGAGTTTTCAATAACTACTTATTAAAATGTTGTAGAACTGAGTGATACATCATCCTTAAGCTCAGTGTGACATAGGACATTACTTGACAAATGCACGCGCAATAAATCAAGTATACATGAGTCACGCCTCTTGTGAGACAGCTGATGATGCTAATTGTGGTACTCGGTTTTGCCATTAATATTAAATTGTTTACATCCGACAGAATGGAAGTATACAGCTTTGAGTATGACGACAATAGATTACTGGTGACCAAACACTGAAATGTGACTAAATAGATATTAGTTTGAAAAAATTAACTTCCAAACAAATTAAGCTTTAGTGGAGGCCGTCTCCGATCTCCAAATGACTACATGTAAGGAAACAACGCTTACGAAATGACTGTGTTTTATGTAATACAAATAAATATAATAAAATCACCTAAACTAATGCCTCCTATGAGCAGCTGATAACAACTCACTTTTGCTGAACACCAGCCAATCATTTCGCAGATAATGTACTAAGATGTGAATACTTCATTCGCAAAAGAAAGTATTTTGAAATTCCATGTTAAAAGGTGTATTTCGTAAACATTTGATGTGAAATAAACCGCTAGATATACAAATGATTTCAAAAGAGGAACCATGACTGTCATAGTTATGATTGAAATGAACATCAACAGGAAGCCTGCGGAGTATCAAACAAGCGAATGGATGTCACGAATAAAGGACAGGTGTTGCATAATCGTCTACGGTGCTACAAATTAAATTTCCAAATCAAGAAAAACTGCATTTCTTTATCAGTCAGCGAGCGTGCATACTGTACAACGATTTCCTCTGTTTTACACTACAGTTGTGAGACAGCTGCTGAAAGTAGATGACATGAAAAGACCACACGTAGTTGATTCTGTTCAACTGCTCGACACAAATGGAGCAACAACGTGAATAATTCTGAGATCAGGCGTAGTGTTACGTAAAGGAAATAATTCAATAGCCAGGATTGTTAATCTTCACCAAGTGAGGTCGCCCGGTCATATGCTGCATTTATTAAGTCATTTTCCTCAATAAATCATACTAACTGAAGTAGAATTATGTTAGATATTAGTTGATGATCACAACAAGACATAATATCAATCCATGAAGTGACTAACTGTTGATGGTGGGTGTAGGCTGTCCGGCTAAGATATTCGGTTTTCTAGGACTCAGTTGTTGAAAACATAGGTTACATCAATCCACAATGACATAGATGGATTTCCTCTCGATCATCAGTGCAATTCTGAATATTGTTTAACAATCTGCATTAAGTTGTCATCTTTCTTTCATTTATATTTGTCCACTATCCCAGCACTTCTGTTCTTTTACTTTCTGTACACTCTCTCTCGACAGGTCGAAAAAATGCCGAAGAGAATAGAGATGTATTGAATATAAACCAAGAAGACCTTCAGGTGACATGACAATCGGGACCCCCGACTGGAACTTGGATGAGAAACGACTAATTGGGTATTCGAGGGCGACATGAAGGTGATCGCTTGAAGAGATGGAAGCTTATGGGCAGTCTAGCAGCTAGGAATGACTGGAGAGAACAAGGTGAAATAGAGATATCCTGTTGAAGTCCTATGTTACACTCCGAAAGCAAGGAAATAATAGTAGCAATGCTTTTCCGACATGGGCTAATTTACACTGAGATAGTTCCGTGAAATGTTCAAAATTTTTCATCCATCAGTCGTAGAATAAGCTGAGAAGAAAAATAGTAATGCACACCAACTACTTAACAAGATGCACTAATACTGTCTTATTAAACAGTGGTACAGACTTGCGAAAAAAGCATTCAGCTAAAAGTACAAATTCCCTTTTCATGGTCTTTTCTTTGATACATAATGGATTTATATATTTAGAAGTTTATGCATATCGACTTGTGACTGTTTGTGGCAAACAGTAAAATAAGGTTCACTGAAATGTCTCTACTCCTCCCATAACACATAAGCATTCAATGATTGTTATCTTTGGATAGATTAAAATTTATTTAGGATTGAAGGTAATGATAATTTACTGGTCAACTAAAGTATTGTTAGGATTTAATGTATTTTAAGTGTTTAATTTTCACGGCCATTTGAAATGTGTTTTGTGTGTGCATCAGATATGCAAAGAACTCTAGTTTTTTTAGTTGAGAGTAAAATGAGTTTTGAAGACTATTAATCGTTCATTGAAATAGGCGAAATTCACGTCCAAAATGACCAGATTTTCTCTCACAAGATGCTATATGGTGATTGATTAGAAGTGATTAATAGCTGAATTTATGCTTTCTAATTCAGCAATTTAAAATAATAATGTAATTATGTCGACCAAAAGTTGTGTGCACCAGGCTAGTCAATCAACTTGACATACAGGAATTTAAAATAAAATGACTCACTCTTAGCGTTAGTCTTTTTAGGATGTGCACCATCTCCATCACTTATTTCATGATGAGGGATAGAATCAGGCTGACGACGAGTAATAGCCAACTCTTGATGAAGATCTGTATTTAGTTCGAGCAGAGGATAAAAAATAACCGAAGATATCAAATGAAACAGAGAGCTTTAGTTGTTAAGAAATTTCATAATAAAAACACTACACGATCCCTATTACTTTACATACAACAACACACATACAACAAATGACGAAAATACAGCGGTTGTAAGGAGTTATGTGATTGTGGACTGGAAGAGAGACAATGACGCCTAACTTTTATTTCAGTCATTGTACACACTGTTTAGAACGGTAACGAACAATGAGGGGCGAATTAGAAAAATATTTCTTAATAGTATTATTTCATATTTATGTTTGTGTAAAAGATGTATGAGCTATCTCTTTGATTTAAAGACTTCCATCTGATGCCTCAATAATTTCCTCCCTAGGTTTTACTTGTACATAAGTACTAATGGATTTTCCATCATGTTCGCATTTTAACAGCAATCAACTACCTGCCATTCTACCTTTCAATATAGCTATCTCCAATAAAATGTATCTTAATGCCATTTCCCTTGTGATTTTATTTATCCGCTTTTAGTTGCACTGTATGATAACAATCATGAGTTTAAAACTGTAGAAGCTGGGAAGGAAATTTCTGAAAACAACTATCTGCTTAAAGGTATCTCACTGTGGACTGCTGGACGTTTCAAATGAGGCATAATCGTCCTGAAAAACTATGAAGACATGGCTCCCTGTTTACCGTAGTTCATTGAGAATAAACTAAACAACCGCTTTTTACACTTAAAAGTGAAATCGGACTGTAAAAAATCAGGAGGTATTCGAAAGAATATACTGTTAATTGTTACAATTGCGTGACTGGTACAACTTTTGTACCATATGAATTTAATGGTGATCAAAATTTAATCTTAAAAAAGTGTAGCGAAGATCGGAGAATTTCTAACTGCAATTAAAAACGCATTGTGTATCCCCCTCCTTAGACCACTTCAATTACCTGACTGCAAAACCAAACTCAACACAGAAAATGATTAGTGAAAGACTCATAAGAAAAATAAGCTTAAAAAGTTAGTGAAAGCATTTATAACGCTTACCGCGGGTTTCATCTTTCAGTCGTTGAACGGTTACCACCAAATCCTCTTTTTCACAAAGTTCATTTTCCAAGAATGCATTTCTCTCAATCGCCTTTATAATCGTTAAGCAATTATTAATAACAGACTTACCTGGTTTAAACGAGATTCAAAATCTTCTAATGTGACCACTGTTGCTCTAGTATAAGGTTCGGTATATTGTGAAAGGTAAGTCCTACCTTTTGGCGCGTTCCAAATCATCATTTGCCTGCTCCAATTCGCGGATATATCTACGCATTCTGTCTCGATCTACTTTCGATTTCTCTAATTCTTCTTGAAGCCTTGTGATTTCGTGATTTGCATATTCTTGATTATTTTCCACTTGATTCTACAACCAAATGATAAAATTAGCAGTCATCAACGGAATTATGTATTTCAAAGAATGATTATTTTAATCACTTACCCGGTAGCGTTCTTTTTCCATAGTCAGCTTTTCACATAACACAACAAGCTCAATGTTACGTTTTTCTAATTGTTCTAAATGTGTTTCCAACTCTTTTTCTAATTCTCGGGAACTAGTCTGGAAGTCGTCTAGCTCATTTCGAGCATCTTGCATGCTAAAACATTTAGGTTAAAGTAAAAAAGCGAGTTACCCATTGTGATATTCTTCCGCTTTCTGTTTCCAGTATCTAGCTTCATTAATAGGATCATCAAAAACAAGATTCTCCATAAATGTGTGCAATCTAACAAGGCATTAGATGAATGATTACAGTTGTCAATACCATTGTTATCTGTAAAAAGTACAACTGGAACATCAAAAATAATGCTACACATAGTAGTATATCACGAAATGAGGGGAATGAAGAGGGGGATATTCCCATTAGATATTCAAAAGATCCTACTGTTGTTGAAATACATAATGAACAACTGCAGCTCTACATAGCGGCCGGCAACTGAATCTCTCGTATCTCAACAAATTTTGATACACCTTGATAAAATATTGGTTACAAACACGGCAACTCAAGGAAAATTAAACTCCAATGCATCATATTATTTGCCACTGCATGACTGAATCTTGCAATTAGTTTTTTGCTCGTTGCAAGAATCAAGACTGTAGATATATTGGGTGGTGCAAGACGACATCCAATTTTTCCGACCTGGAATGGGGATATGTACCAAACGCCTTAGGTCTTGGTGGAAGCGTGCTTAAGTGGAACGCAAATACACTGTATCGCTCATGTGTAGGTTTAGGCGCTAAACTGATTCTTAGGATAGTAGTCATAATCAAAAACTGCGTTTTACAAGAGATACGTGGATGACACTTTTATCTTTAATAATGAAGAGAATTCTGAAGATGATCTAGATTTTTGTCAGTAGCTGTATGTCTGTAATTAATCCACTTCAAATTAGAAAGAATTCTGAATCAAAAATATGCCTCCTGAATTATCAACTCACAAGATGCGACAGTGGAACATTGAAAAGATCCACCCACAGAAATTCGTAACGGAACGGGAAACTTACAAACTTTTACAGTTGGGTGTATTTACATACATTAGTCCAAAAAGTCGCAGAATCAACAAAGTCCGCAACTGCAATATCATAGAAGAGTTGAGCAGAATAAAAAAAATCACTAAAATTGGCTATCTTGAACGCTTCAGCACAAAATGAATGGTACATCAGCAAAATCAAATAACTCATATCACTAAGAAACTTCCCTGCAGTTCAAGGAAGACCATTTGTTCTGTTCATTGAAGAAAAATTTTGCTGCTGATCTTCGAGTTACTCTCTCTCTCTCTCTTCACAAAGCCAATTACTCCTAAGGACAACCTACTACTTCTGACCCAATGAATGTGAATCCATCTGTTCACCTGCTCCGATGGAGCTAAGTATGACGGCCGTAGACAGCATTTGCCATCCAAGAGTATCATCGAAACTGTATACAATGGTTTCCCTTGATAAATATTAGTGCAGCATCATATAATCGAAACAAACGTCATAGCGGCTCAGTTCTAGGTCATTTATATGATTCTGGACCTAGTGAACTCACAAGCAAACTTCAAAGTCGTCTACAGAAATTGCAGAAATCTCGCCATAAAAGTGGGAATCGAACTTCGAACCACGGACCCAGTACAATCGACATCTTAAATCCTGAACTCAGAATACAAATGTTTCTGCAGTCAATAGACTTACAACACTAAGTAAGTGACTTTTAATCAACATAATTCTGCCTTTTTTCCTTTCCATTATTAAATTTCTACTCCTTATAGTACTAATTTCAACCAGCCCTTACTTAATACTTTAGTTTAATTCAGTTTTCATGCGATGAATACTTTTTGTACTATGCAATTACTACCTATACCTAACAATGGCACGTCTTCGGAAAAGCCACTTCTGTTACTATGAAAATGACGGGTATTTACGCACATATATTTCAGGACCTGATGATACCCAAAAGTGTGGGGAAACACCTATAAGAATTCACGATCAATGCATTATATGACATGCTGTGTTTCTACCTGTACTTTGAGAGCATAAACTTAACCGAGCTGCAGCAATTTCTATATCGAAAGACGTGTAGTACCAGAAGGACAATGACAACGCATTCTTAACAATGATCATATATATTACCTGCTATCATTTCTATAAATATAGAAAAACAGCCCTGACAATGCTTACTTGACAAGCGCTTAGACATTGACAAGTAAACCTGTCTGTCTGTTTTCGACAAAGAACTTTGCACCGATGTGCAACAGAGCATCGAAGCACTCAAAGCAAGAGAAGAAAGTAGGAGAAATGAAAAATAGAGACAGTAGACAGGAATGTGAGACAAAATGAATAGTAATGGCGAAGAGCAATACAGTGTCATTGGAAATCAGAAGTCACAAGGAGTGGATGCATCTGCACCACTGAGAACGATTTTGAGTCATATCACCAAATGTCTTCGGCCTTCATTGGTTTTGACTATCCCAAGGACCCCAGTCACGAAGTCTACATCTCCCTATATGGCTAGCTTAAACTAACTGTTGTGGGTTTCATTAACTTATCAAGCCATGTTTTGGTTTGACCACCACTGGCTGTTTACCAACTTGATCCCATATCAGCTAACACTGCCCATCGAGGAAGGCGATGACTAGGCGTACGTAACACATGTCCTAACCATCTCAATCTGTGTAACTTCACAACCTCGTCGACTGATTTCCCCTGCTTACCTAGCACTCGTCCGAAGTCTAACCTCAATATTTCTCACCATATTATACCAGCTAACACGCGAGATAAAATGCAGACATCTATGATCAAAGACAGCTAATCTTTTCATGTCTTCCACAAGTAAACCTAGTATGACCTCAGATAAAACTGGACTATGTTCCTCTAGGAATTAAAGGATATAATAATAATTGTTTGTATTAAGTATCTTACTGTACTTCAGCATGTTTGGACTCAGTTAGTTGAACTCTTACAAAAACCCTACAGCACCGTGATACAAGGACACCCCGTAATTTCTGCAGACGGACAGTAAATTAGCGCCAATGTTGGATTATGGAGGAATGAAAATTCCCATTTTAAAGTTGTTGATGAATTCCACAGAACATGAATTTGCTGCTGAGATTAGAACATTTAAAGATAAATGGAATATCCACCAAAACTAGAGATTTAGCACAGATAATTCTATAAGGATATCAAGTTTACTTGCGACTTTAGCACTGACTTCTGGAGCATTGCAGAATATTTAAGCAGACTTTGGAGCCATTGCAGAATGTTTTAGGCAGGCTTAGGGGCCTTGTCCCACGTTCTGAAACGCGCCCGAAAAAAATGCTACCTGTTATGAAGGATTTAATCATGAGCTGACATCAGTTACAGAACCACTGGAAAACCTGGGGGTACTGGACAGCTGTTTCGTCCTAGTTATGGAGCTATTATGGAACATATCGCACAGGATATGAGTCGAGTAAACTCCTTATTTCCGCTTTGACGATGATTTGATAGAAACATAAAATAAAAAGCCTTTGTAACCACAAAAGAACAAATAGTCCAATTAAAAGAACGCAAACCTCACCGGACCACAGGGACCAGCTCGTCGTAGTTCGAAAAGCGCGCAAATGTTAGAGCGTGGTTTTTCTTTTTGTTTAACTGAATGTGCTCCGACTATTAAAATTGTAATTTGTATCTTGAAGTTACTTCAAGCTAAATCATTGGCCTAGTTCTGTATGTGTTCTTGCGATCCATTCACAAAATAAATAAATCTTGGAGAAGTCTGTGGATCGGTGGGAACATCATCACTCACTGAGAAATGGAGGTACATCCGGAAGACGAGTCCCAAATAGGACGAAATGCGCATCCTGGATTACACTCCTAGTCACCATCCACCAATAAAAGTCTATGAAACGTTTTAGGAATGAGATTCACGGGTGGGCTACGATATCTACTGAACCGAAATCAGCATTTTTATCAGAGGGCATAGCGTTCCTTTAAAAAATGATAAAGACGAATAGCTTACCACTTCTCACAAAGTGTACTTATATTTGCGATTTCGATCGAAAGAAGTGTATCCATTCTAAGGATATATTCAAATTGACTTCTTGGCTACTATTGATCGGGATGATTTCGTTTTCTGTAGTGCTCCTCTTGCCCTGAAGTGCTAATAAGGTGAATCTTTGTGGTCACAGTGGTTAGGATTCTCGCCGACCATGCACACTGTTCAAAGTTCGATCCCCTGCCGACGCATACCTGATATCTATGGTCGGCCTGCAAAATTTGGGCTACCGATATCCATGCTGAAAATACCATACTTGAACCAAAATTACAGTGTGGAATCAAGCTGTAATAAAAAAATAAGATAAAAATAAATGTATTCAAGCAATGATAGAAATACCTTGAAAGCAAAAGGAATAACTAAAGATCAAATTTTTACATGGTTAACCATCAGCGTTTTACTCAAATGCCTTACCTATGACCAAATGTTTGCTCTCCAACCTATCCCCTCAGGAATCGGACATTTTTTATCAGAAAGTATTCGCTTTTCCTCATTTACATATGTTTAACTTCTCATGTTAGCCCAGTCAAATTGGCTGTTTCTCTAGGAACTTTTCGCTTTGTGCTTGAGGAAACACACCTGTGAGGCTAAGTAAGACCCCTTAATAATTCAGTACTAGTGCACCTAGTCGAAACAGGACTAGCTTTGACAAATAATTTTACTTAATGATAAATTCCCGAAATCTCATGACAATGAATACTCCAAATACCAAAAACCACAGAAGTTTGCTCAAAATATCTAGAGGCTATTGAACAGAAAAATCATTTCAAGTATCAGTTTTTGTGCCGCCCAACTCTAGTGGGCTTCTAAATATATCCTGGTAAAAGTTAAACTACCACAGCCAAAACCCCGGCGACTATGGACAACCAATCAGAACTCAGGTGCGAAAAGTCCGATAATCATTAAAAATGCACTAAACATCACTGCAAACATGATTTTACGCCATGAAGTTTATGCCTATGTTACTACAAAGATGATATATAAAAAAATGGTACCATGGTACCATGCACTCTTCCACTTGACAGTAAGTAACGGTACTTTGGAATCCGCTGATATTTCTAACACTGTTCTTTAACCTACTCCTAACTTTAACCATAATCCTAATTTTTAATCATTAAGTTAACCCTAATTCTAGAAGTTAAGCCATAGTCTGAAAAGCCATAACACTAATAGCATAGATTTACAGAAAAAGTACCTTTTGAATTAGTGGAATACTGTATCTGTCCCCTCCAATTTCAAAGAGGTGGGTATAATTGGCTTGGGATGTTCCCTTACAAAGTTTTTGCACCTGAATGTCAATTTTTGGAGGGCTTTGACTCTGGCTGTTGTGGTTTAACCTAGCCTCATCCGAATTCTATGTGTTATATATTTGCATTTTGCATACATATACATGCATATATATGGATTTTGTATACATATACGAATGGCTTAAGCTGTAATTATTTTAATTTTTTAATTTGTATTTTAGCTCGATTCAACACATTATTCAGGAACAGGTATGGAATTATCAGCATGTGATATCGACAGCCCAAATTTGGCGGGCCGACCATTGATATCGGGTGAGCATTAGCCGGGTTCCAACATTAATAATAATAGTAATAATTTTTATTTTCATATAAACATAAATTTACATGAAAATGCATGCCATTTTTACAGGCACGATCAAGTATGGTATAGTGTCAAATCTTAAATTGTCTACAAGTTAATAATGTTTCAACAGTTAAATATTTGATATATATAATTACACTCATTGTCTGAACCAGGCTGTATAGTTATTGAATTGTACAGTTGTCCTCCAGGTTGCGCGGGAAAACTGACTTCGTTTCGTTTTCATCCCGTGGTTGTAGGCATACGATAACCAACCAATATTGAGGTAAGTACAACGTTTACAAGGGATTGGAAGCTGTTTTAGAAAAGTTAAAGTGCTAATGTGAATCATTAAATTGTAATAAATTAAGCAAGTGCAATATATCATTAATAAATACATTTATATAGAAAACAGAATGGGGAAGTAATTAATCCTTAGGCCGACAACGTTCATTTGCAATGTATAATGCTACCCATATAGGCATTACCATCATGATGTCCAATTTTGGTTTTAATACATTTATCCGCATGCCAGTTTTTTTATTTTATACCTTTTTGTGCATTTGGTTCACAGCCGTACCATTCAGAGAATAGGAATAGAATGAGTCTAATCGAATTCATAAAGAGCTATAAAATGTTAGGTTTAATGTAATGTAATGAGGATCAAGCAAAGACGTTATTAGAAAATGAATGAGATAAGACATTGTGAAGTGGTATTTAAAGCTCTGACAATGGATAGAAATTAAAAACAATTAGTCCTTTCTATAAATTTTGATAGCGTTATTAGAAGACGGAGACTGTCTGAAAAATGTGATGTATTAGCGCTATACATTTCGAACAATCTGATCACACATTTACTTGTCAAGTCAATATATATAGAAAGGTTAAATTAAACAAAGTGAGAGAAAACGGAATTAAGAATAATTAACACAAACGTTTGGTAATCCAATCAAATAAGGATTACCAAGGTAGGTTAAGAGTAATGACAAACTGTTTTTGAATACACAAGGGGGGCTTAAGTCTATGAATAGCTATAGCCTCAGCGTATTTCAATAAACGCCCTTGACCGTTTTTATAGATGACCTTAAAGGCTGAGTTAACATCAATCTTATGGTTCATCTCGATTAGATGTTTAGCTATAGACGAATTTGGTAGTCTGCCACCTGCATCTATTAGCTTGTCACAATTCATCTGTTTTTCTAACCATTTTGGGATATGCTCTCCCACCCTCACGTGCAAAGCGCGATTACTCCTCCCTATGTATGTATGTCCACACACACACGAAAATTGGTAAATTGTATGGGATGTGATATAATCACTTGTGCACTTTTGGGGTTTACAGTGAAGCATATTTTTGGCTTTTTCCACAATTACAAGCTGGGCAGCATAGTAGGTCCTACGGATGATTGAATTCAACCTTTGTCTCACAATCCTACTGTTTATTTCCCCGTTATATGGTAATTTGATAAAAACCTTTTTCTTAGGGACGGTATGGATTGTAGGTTTAGAGGCTAGTTGACTTCTACACCTGTTTAAAAATTTCAAAGGATATCCGTTTTCAACAAGAGTATCCATTAATATTTCGTTTTCTCTGTCCATAACATCAGCCGTGCAAATACGCTGAATCCTCTTGAATAGGCACTTCACCAAGCCCCTCTTATACTGTAATGGACAGAAGCTGTGAAAATTAAGGTATTGCCCTGTCCAAGTGGGCTTTCTGTAGATAGACCGTCTTATTGAGCCATCATCTCTTCGACTCAGAAGTATGTCTAAAAATGCTAGCTGGTTGTGACTTTCTTCCTCACATGTAAGACTAATATGATTTTGTACAGAGTTAAGTCTGTCTAATAGGCGACTCGCATCTTCATGATCGTCACATATCAAAATGATATCATCTACATATCTCCTATAAAAGGGCAATTTTGAAATTAAATCAAGGGATAAGTTTTCAACATAAGACATATACACGTCCGCTAACAAAGGTCCTAATGGACTCCCCATAGCAACGCCATCCACTTGTCGAAAATGTTCGCCTTCAAACGTGAAATGGACGTTGTCAGTACATAATAATAATAAATCTTTCAAATAAGTTAAAGGGAAAGGGAATGAAAAACAACTAGAAGAAATATAGTCACAAAGAATATCAACAGTCTTAATCAATGGTACATTAGTAAACAAAGAATTAACATCAAATGAATACATTTTCCTATCTTTTATGTTCATATCTACAAGACAGTCAACAAGTTCAAATGTATCTTTCAAAGTAAACTTACATAATTCATTCCGTACTGGGCTTAAAATATCAGCTAACCATTTTGCTAGTTTATGTGTAGGAGAGTTACACATTGAAAGAATTGGACGTAATGGATTGTCAACCTTATGAATTTTAGGTAGTCCATAGAGGTTTGGAAAATCAGATCCCATGGGTTTCAAGGAGTTAAACTCCTGTTTATCGATAACGTTCATGCCGCGAAGTTTTACTAAATGAGAATTTACTTTTCCTTCCAATTTTCTTATATCATCCGAAGGAACATCGGCCATAAATTTATTTTCGTCATTAAGAATGGATAACATTTTTGTTTTATAATCATTTCTGTTCATTACAACTACACCAGATCCTTTGTCAGGTTTCAGAATAACTATATCGGATCTGTTACGTAATTCCTTTAGGGCTTTAAAATGGGTTGAAGTAAATTCTCATTTAGTAAAACTTCGCGGCATGAACGTTATCGACAAACAGGAGTTTAACTCCTTGAAACCCATGGGATCTGATTTTCCAAACCTCTATGGACTACCTAAAATTCATAAGGTTGACAATCCATTACGTCCAATTCTTTCAATGTGTAACTCTCCTACACATAAACTAGCAAAATGGTTAGCTGATATTTTAAGCCCAGTACGGAATGAATTATGTAAGTTTACTTTGAAAGATACATTTGAACTTGTTGACTGTCTTGTAGATATGAACATAAAAGATAGGAAAATGTATTCATTTGATGTTAATTCTTTGTTTACTAATGTACCATTGATTAAGACTGTTGATATTCTTTGTGAATATATTTCTTCTAGTTGTTTTTCATTCCCTTTCCCTTTAACTTATTTGAAAGATTTATTATTATTATGTACTGACAACGTCCATTTCACGTTTGAAGGCGAACATTTTCGACAAGTGGATGGCGTTGCTATGGGGAGTCCATTAGGACCTTTGTTAGCGGACGTGTATATGTCTTATGTTGAAAACTTATCCCTTAATTTAATTTCAAAATTGCCCTTTTATAGGAGATATGTAGATGATATCATTTTGATATGTGACGATCATGAAGATGCGAGTCGCCTATTAGACAGACTTAGCTCTGTACAAAATCATATTAGTCTTACATGTGAGGAAGAAAGTCACAACCAGCTAGCATTTTTAGACATACTTCTGAGTCGAAGAGATGATGGCTCAATAAGACGGTCTATCTACAGAAAGCCCACTTGGACAGGGCAATACCTTAATTTTCACAGCTTCTGTCCATTACAGTATAAGAGGGGCTTGGTGAAGTGCCTATTCAAGAGGATTCAGCGTATTTGCACGGCTGATGTTATGGACAGAGAAAACGAAATATTAATGGATACTCTTGTTGAAAACGGATATCCTTTGAAATTTTTAAACAGGTGTAGAAGTCAACTAGCCCCTAAACCTACAATCCATACCGTCCCTAAGAAAAAGGTTTTTATCAAATTACCATATAACGGGGAAATAAACAGTAGGATTGTGAGACAAAGGTTGAATTCAATCATCCGTAGGACCTACTATGCTGCCCAGCTTGTAATTGTGGAAAAAGCCAAAAATATGCTTCACTGTAAACCCCAAAAGTGCACAAGTGATTATATCACATCCCATACAATTTACCAATTTTCGTGTGTGTGTGGACATACATACATAGGGAGGAGTAATCGCGCTTTGCACGTGAGGGTGGGAGAGCATATCCCAAAATGGTTAGAAAAACAGATGAATTGTGACAAGCTAATAGATGCAGGTGGCAGACTACCAAATTCGTCTATAGCTAAACATCTAATCGAGATGAACCATAAGATTGATGTTAACTCAGCCTTTAAGGTCATCTATAAAAACGGTCAAGGGCGTTTATTGAAATACGCTGAGGCTATAGCTATTCATAGACTTAAGCCCCCCTTGTGTATTCAAAAACAGTTTGTCATTACTCTTAACCTACCTTGGTAATCCTTATTTGATTGGATTACCAGACGTTTGTGTTAATTATCCTTAATTCCGTTTTCTCTCACTTTGTTTAATTTAACCTTTCTATATATATTGACTTGACAAGTAAATGTGTGATCAGATTGTTCGAAATGTATAGCGCTAATACATCACATTTTTCAGACAGTCTCCGTCTTCTAATAACGCTATCAAAAAAAATGGATAGAAAGTTAATTTATAAGATTCCCCATATATCTGTGCAGATCCCGCGTGGTCGTATCTCAACGATAAACTGAGTGAATGGTATACATTTAAAGGTAGAAGCATGATCTGTCAAGGCGTTCATTATTATGTTTTTTCAAGATAAAGATCTATGCCCTCATAAAAATCAGAAATATCTCGAGCCTTCAAATTGTATATTGCTGTTCCTGCAGAATGGGGTGAGTCACCTTAGTGACCACCACCATATCTACTGATCATGTGCACGGTTGGCGAGCGTCCTAACCGCTGTGCCACCGACGCAACATGCTGAACCTAAGGGTTCGAGATTATTATTATGAAACGCTAACTCCTTAACTCTTGGTCAAATATTATGATGGAACATAACGCAGATGTTAATGAGAAGAATGCCTTTTAAAGCTGATTAGTATAAAAAACAGCAACCATTATAGGAGAGTCCTTTCTTAATTAGAGTGCAGTATTTCTCACCGTAGAAGAGGCTTAGTTATGAGAAGGTAAAATAAAACCTCGCTATTTTAGAAAGTTTGAATTGTAGGCTGCAAAAAGCCAGCGGTGTTCATTTTTAAACTCAAATTCAAACATCACTTTTTTGATGAGTTGACCTCTATCACTTTATGAGACGGTTATGGCATGTTGGTGCGAGATATCAGAAAACTGTGTCTACTGGAAGGTGCTGAGAGTAGAGAGTCGGAGGATGAAGCACTAGATGATTTTCCAACCTAGGGCGTCAACCTGAGAAGGGTTGTAGGCGTACTGCTGTAAGTCCTACAATTCTTCAAAGGGTAGCGCATCAATGAGCAGTCCAATGTGCTCGGTGTGTGATTTTGTACATATGTTCATATTGTATATACTGAATTGATATCATCTGTCATCTAGCTGTTGGTAATTCTGTTTGTGTCCGGACGACTTCCACTTGGATCATCAACCTGAGAAGGAATGTAGGCGTACTGCTGCAAGTCCCACAGTTCTTCAAGGGTAGTTTTTCATGCCGGAATCCACAACATTTGATGTGTATATATATATATGGTTATATATATATATATATATATATATATATATATATATATATTATATATATGGTTTAACCCCATGTACTTGTATTTCATAAAATTATAGACTTGGAAACCACTTCGTAACGCTACTTGAACAACATCCACCTTGTCCGTGGTTTGCTTCAACTAAAACTAACGCTTGTAATTGTTGTGTAACAATCCATCCTGCTAGATGTGAATTCAGGACACGCTACCCGCAGATTCTCTGGCCCAAATCACTCAACCTGGTGGCCACCTCAGCTGGAGAAGGGATGACATAACCCTCACGGCCGTTCTAGGATGTATCTATTAACGATTATAGGTACGAAGTAAAGAGACAACCACACCACAAGGTAGAGGTCGGGCTCTTGTTACTTGAAACCCAATAATCCGACATCTGATCCAGTCAGCACAGATAAGAAATCGAAGTGGCTGATATTTGAATGAGTGCAAAAACTTCCTCAATCTCTTACAATAGAAGAAAGGTGGTACCAAGGATGGGAACCGGTCTTGTTGTCGATCAAACAGGGATTGGTAAGTCGAGTGGTTAGTTGCTATCATAGACAACTATGTTGCACATCCGTGAGTTCTTCACAACAACAATGTAATCGCCGAAAATTTAATGACATGCAGCTGTGTGGGACTAATTTCAGGAAAATGTGAGCCCTGTAATTCATCCTTATCCATATGCCCATCTTTATCCCTGATATCTTTTCGGTTTGAACGGTCGATTGGTGAACAAGTTTATGCCACAGGCGGTGTTTTCTTCTAGTCTCGAAGAGAGTTCCTACTTTCTTTACAAACCTCCTGTCATTTCGATCAGGCTAAACAGGCAGCTTGACAAATGAGGTCTGCCGTCAAATACCAAATAGACCTTGTGTTATGGTTATCATAGTATCCAGCAACTTGCAAATGTTTTCAAACGAAAGGTATGCGTGTAATTAAAACAGTGGCTGTATGGACATCAGTGGGAATTACATCCCATTAACTGCACGACAAACTATACCACACAACACTCTGCTTGGGTTGCCCGGAGTATCTGACTGATAATTTTCATAACTTTTGCGAAATTACATACAGTATTGCAAATGGTCTTCATTTCTGAAGGATATAAAACAAACTTTGATCCAAGAAAAGCTTCACTGGATACCTCTGCTAAATACCCCTCGATGACGAGACTCACTTGGTAGGTCAAAATCCAAACCCAGACTAGTGTTGATATCCAATACCCATGTCCAAGAAGCGAAATGTTGTCGAAAACCTTCTAATGCTTGCAATGGCTCCAATATTACGGAAAACTGTCCCGCCGGCAGGCGTTGGCGGCAACTGTCGCAAGTGGAATTAGCCATATACTGCACGTCCGTTGTGTTGTCAGCCAGACTCAGTACTTAGTCGACACAGGCGCCGAAGTCAGCGTCCTTCCTCCTACAGCAGCAGATCGATTGAAGGAACCTATCTTCAGCTTACAGGATGCAAATGGAAAACCAGCTGCAACCTTTGTTAGGAAATGCGTCTATCTGAACGTAGGTTTACGCAGGCCTATCCAGTGGATTTTCCTTCCATCATTGGCACAGACCTACTTAACCACCATGATTTACTCGTAGATTTCCGATGAAAACGAGTGATAGGCGACACTAGTATACTGTCCACTCAAGACATCACGTACGTAAGTCATAGTTTGTCACTCGTTAGGAAGAAGAATGCGATTTTCGATCTAAGTTTTCAGCCGATTGTTGACAAGTATGCGGAACTTAATTGCCCGTCTAAAGATCTACTGTGCATAACCAGCAATGTTATGCATAACATCATG